AGAGATAGCCCTGAGGCTACATGGTCTCTTTATGCCTTTTAAGAAAATGAAGCTTTGCTTAGATGTACAGAAAAGCCTGAGTAAAGTATGTCCCCAGATACTGGTATTTTACGTTTTCTTCAATTTTTTGGAATTTTTCTTCCAGATTTTTTTTTAAAACAATGTACACAGTAATTGTGACATGTTAGGTATGGGGGGAAAGGTTAATTTCTTTGCAGACACGGCTCCTGCCCTGAGCCATAGAGGAGAACACCTCTCTAGGGCTTCCAGCAGCTCCTGGGCTGGAACCGCTGACCTCTCTGTGAGCAGCCGGGCCCCTAGCCCACTGTGCCACCGGGCCTCCTTTGGCAGCCCGGCAGGAGTCTGTTTTCCTTGGGCCTGTCCCTCTCCGACCAAACCACAGGCTTCTGGTGGGGTTCACCCGGCTCTGGTCTGTCTCTCCACCCCTTCCCCCCCAATCAGAGAGCCTTGCATATCAGAAGTGCCCAATGTTTGCAAGACTGATGGAATGAAACACTGGCACGGCGGTGCTGAAGGCCTAAGCCAGGGCCCTTGATGCCTCGGGCCAACCTGGCACCATCTCTGGGGGTGGAAGGGGTGGCGGTGTGTGTGTCCAGGCAGGCGGAGTGTCCTCATCTCATCCCAGAGGTACAACTAAGAGACCCCAAGTTCTCCGGAGCCCCACTCAGCGCCTGGCCAGCAACCCCTGCCACAGGGGGACAGGATCCCAACTCTCCTGAGGCAGCTTCCTGTCTGCCCTCCTGTTTGCCTGGAAGTGAGCGGCGTCCGCTTCCTGCCTCCAGCATCCTCCAGGAGGCCAGGCCTCACACTTTCCGTTCAGGAAGGGGCCGAGGAAGGGGCCTGGGTTAGCTCACCAGGCGGAAACGGAAGGAGTGGGGCCGCCATGGACCTGACATTCAGGAGGTGCACAGAGTTCATTCATTCATTCATCCATCCGTCCATTCATTCATTCATGGAGCAGGGCTGCCACGGACCTGACATTCAGGAGGTGCACAGAGT